TATCACATTTAGGGTTTTATTGACCACCCAGTCTACTGTAACAAATGGAATCCACCAATTATGTTACATTAAGAAGTCAAGTTAGGCGAACGAACGTTTTCGGTTATTCATCATCAGGCTAGTAAAATAATATAAGGCAGGGTAGAGTTAACAACAGTTTGAGCAACCAGTCAGTAATAATTAGGGGAGAGGTGTCAAGGGATAAAAGGGTACATTAAGTTGACTGTAGGATTTCTTAAGCAATCGATCTAGAACCCACCAAGTGACCACCAGGCACACTTTATTAGTAGGGGGTTTTGGCAGATTCGAATAATTTATTTTAATTTGACTTTACTTTAGTGCCCTGGTGTTAAGACCTGCGTGGTGGATGCTTGATCGTACAATTTAGCGAGACCCATTTTTTTCCATGTCTAAAAATTAAGGCATTATTTTAACACAAAAAGGGAGCATTAAGTCCCTCCCCCCAAGACTATGTTCTTGCCCCACTACTGATTGACTCCTATAGGAAAAAGGTTTATTCCAATAACCGAGCTGATCGATTTTTTTCATTTGTAGCCGCCCTGGAGATTGCTATACGAATAAATGAAAAACTAATGAAGGCAGTTTTATGCGCAGAAGAGGCGGGCCCTCATTCTTCTGCGTCCAACTCACCTACTCCGTATGTACCCTACATGAAGCATGAGAGTCTAACCTTTTATTTTTTTGACACAGTTATATGCGGTACGCTGTCCTTCAGATGAAGGATCCTTTTCCTGCCGTAAGGTCGCCAAGCTGTCGTAGTCTCACCACTAACTGGATTTCATGCCTCTTTTATGTTCAGTCCTTGATCGATTTTAATTTGCTAAGTGAAGTCTGCCCATTTTGTGCTTCCTGGGACTAGAGGTAGTCTTATTAATAGCCTCTGTATTTGTCCTCACTGTCTCGCCAGAGTAGCAACGACTGCTTTGACTTTGACTATGGAAAGAGCAGGCTTCTCATAAAAAGCCGAATATTTTTGCTCTCTGAGGAAATAAGACCCAAGGTTCGGAAAAAGATACAAAAGACGATATCGTCCAAAACATACGGGTTGTCAGTTTGCATATAAATGAAATTGCCGCAGACTTTTCACAACCAGTTTGATTGATAGTTTCGACAATTTTCTTTTCTCCTGCAAATATTCCCATGCCAAGTCGACTTTTCAGACTTTCTTTTTATTTTTCACTAAGTTTACTGTTTAACCGTAAGTTTGCGTATTTTACTCTGATTCCATTGCTAACTGCAATTCCACGGAAGACGCGTGCGACATTCGTAACAGTGTTAGCTCATCGAGCCCCCCCGACCGGAACACAGATTGGTTCTTGGCCTGCTTTACTATTGACTGCTTTATGCCTGAACAAGTTTTAACAATCGCTATGTGCATGTTTTACGCATTAGTCGGTGATTTTGTGTCTGCATCCATTGTCCTTGCTATTTGGCCGACAGACGGGCATTCCATTGATGTCTATAGAAGAGGAAATCAAAATAGAAACCCGTACTGAGATGATCTTTCTTGTGAAAATTCGGGCTTTCAAACTGCCATATCGCAATAATATTAGTAGTTTTGAAGATTATAAGTTAACGGACTAACTCCGTACTACACGAGCTTAGAGAATCAGGTTGCAAGGCTCCTTTGTCCCGGTAAGGCCTCCATATGCCTCCAATGCTTCTTGTTGTTATGGCCTTTAAGGTCAGTCGTGTGATATCCGAGGCCTCTTTTCTGAGCTTTGAAGCCAGGCTCCGATGAAGTTTAATAGGCACCTAATGTAGGACTAGGAGGGGGGGGGGCAGTT